CCCGATAGACTAGCTGACGGAGACGTCGGGATACAGTTTTTCACGTGTCTGCGAATGTCTTGGGGGCGTTGATGTCCAGAAGTAACAGTATTTGATCCGATGTCATGATACCAAAGTGCAACCCTCGGGCAAATGTCAGCTCATCACCAGCAAACAAACGGTCAGCATAGGATTCCAAGTGTAAAACGCGCAACCCACAGTTTGTTTAAACCGTGTTTGGTCATCAGCTTCTGACGTATAGGCCGCTATTTGACCAATGGCTTGGTCAGGGCCACCAGATGATGATTCGTCCAAATCTACTTGCCATTTAAGCACCCGTAACCTGGTTTTTGATGCTGATAGCCGACCGACCAAGAAACTACCTCCCCGATATCGTGCGGTTTGCGTGTCACACGATGGATATGGATTGTTAGCCAGGAGCAAGAGCGACCGTTTGGACCAGCAGACACCGAAACTAGGCCATGCTTATCTGTATTATGATGGGTGGAATATGCTTACCGGCGATGGTGACCAGGCCCTTTTTTTCGGAGATAGATGGGAACAATCAGCGCAGGCTAATTGGGCGACCATGCTCGTGCTAAGACGTTCATGGACATGAACTCGATTGTGATGCACAAGGCCAGCTTCCGGTTTGCAGCAATGGGCACATTTCTCACACGTAAGCCTCGCGAGTCTATCCTGTGTACTGGTTAGGACAGTGCGGAAATGATTCGTATCGTACGTTGTCGAAAGTAAGCAGCACAGCAAAACCGAACAGGGCGCTTAGGCCTGTCTGGAGTTAGCGAACTCTTCGCTCACCCAGACTAACGTCCAGGCTACCCAGTCGGCATCACGAGGAGATGCTTCAGTGAGTCAACCCATTTATACCCTATGTTGTATTGATACTTACGGTGTCCTTCCTAAAACTCCCTAGGAATCATGATGGCGCAATGCAGGAAACGACTGACCGGTTAATGGTCAACTAAAGTTTGATTGATTTTTCGAATGGCATCCCATGTTTCCGTAAACTACACTAGCATTTTTGACGGTACTATTCTTACCCTGAGAAGAAAATCTCCGTAATCATACTTTTACACTTTTTCATTTGGCTTAAAAATATAATCCAATGGTCCACGGAAGTGGCAAAATGATATTGCAAGCAAATTTACGTTTAAAATGGTTGCATGAAGCAAAAAAAGTTTCCTCGGAGAACCGGTGTGAAAAATCATTATATTGTGATTTTTTTTGGTCGCCGGATATTGTCAAATCAGTGTGTTCTAATATACAAGGCTTTGAATTCTATGCCCGCCCAAGTGAAAACATCCGTAACTATGTTAATTGGTATTTTGTACGCACAGTAATATTTTTCCTTAATAAATCCACCCAATATCCGTTGTTTTTACGAAGATTCCATTTCAAGTAGACCGCTGAAAAAAATCAAGTTGCATTTGACAGTGTCATTCAGTCATAAAACAGAGGTGTCAAGTTGAACATAATTCGAGGTGTTTTCCTGAAGCCATCAAGAAATTCAAGCTTTTTGTCCATATTTTTTCAGAAAAGAACAAAATCTGTTAGTGGGTGAACATAAGAATGCATAAAGACTACACTAAATATAAGAAATTACTAAACTAAGAAAAGTTATATAAACAGGCTGATAAACAACGGAGCTATTGGTCCACGACTCACTAGTCATAATCCCTCATAGACATGAGGATTACTTGAAAACTTCATTTTTGAAAACGATATCCCTTTCACAAATTTATCACGCCTAAGATGCTACGCAAGATCAGACTACGATCAGTCGTGTCAAGTAATCAAACAATGTATTTAGTTGTCGCATCGCACCACCGGATTCATGATGCGGCTCACACAATGACCGCGTGATTAATGAGGTATTTGTTTTTCTCACAGGAAGCGAGATCGTAATCGTATAGTCCACATCCTGTATACATTAAACAGCACAGCTAAGTTTGTAATGTTTAACTCAAACTAAAACCTGAGAATTCAAATGTATCTAGCGTCGCCTATCTATGTTACTTGTTTACCAACTTGGTCACATGTTTCTCTGAAAACGTGGTATTTGTAGTCCCTTCAATATTTTGCCATTATGTTGAGCTGCCTCACAAACTTGGAGATAAAAGTTCCGGATTGAGATTATAGAACTTTGCTGTACAGTTGAAATTTTGATACAGACAAACCGAAAATTCCTGTTTTCCTGGCTTGAGAAAACGTTCTCACCAACCACCGAAAACATCAAATGTGGTTTTGGACATTTGAGCACATCCAAATCCAGGTATAATTAGGCATTGCAGTAATGCGTCCTTCTCTGTTTCGTCAGAAAAAGCACTGTGTTGATAGTATTCAGTGTGAAAATACCAACAACATGGATTGAAGTATGAATTATGACCTGGAAGGGAACATTCTACACGTGGGTTATCTGTTCCCCCATGGTTCTACTCCATTTCTAACTTCAGATCAATGTTAACAGTTGGGGGCATTTCGAAACCACTTCTCATACGATGATCGGCATCAATATCTGTGGGACGAAATGTGCATTCCCTTACGGTCCTGAGTATCGTGCTGACGATCCGAATAACGGCATGTTACAAACTGTCCATCGCGTGGCATATTATTTAAATTATCCATGTTCGTCCTGTAACGTCAAGCCAAGGCTGAGCATGAAAAATTGTCTTTCTCATTTCATCCAGGTTTTGACTGCCCAATGACGACCTTGTTGGGTGCCCATTTAACGCTAAGCTCTCTAGTTAGCAAGAGTAGGCCAATCGTTTGTCTACTTTGGGGACGTGTATTATAAAAATAAAACGCCACATTTACTTTTGAAATTTTATATTTAGATTTTTGTACTCTTGTGCGCTTCACGTTTAGCGATCAGTTTGAAAGGCGCTACCATCCTATCAAAGGAGGCTGTGAATGAAATACACGGATAAGTCTGATCCCCGCATCAGTTTTGTGTTGCTTTTTAATCATTTTTTAATAGTTTTTCACATGTGGCTTCAGTATATTCGAGCACCAACTCCATGCTGTCAATGGCATAGTCCAACAGGAAATCGATTCGAATTCATAAACGATCCCAAAGCATTTACTTGTTATTCTTCAGCTTGATACGTTTCTAATCAGATTTCAAGGCACTCTCTAATTGAGCTTCTTTTATCCAGAAGTTCTAAAAGTCAACTGTTAATTTTCGACCTATATTTCTGAATTTTTCAAGGGTCAAATTTGCTATCGTATGCATAATCTGCACAGTACGTGAGAAATGGTTGGAATTAGTTGAATAATCTCCACATTTGACGTAGAAGAGTTATAGTGTTGGCATGGGGTTCCGAAATTCTATTCATGACTCTGTCACGCCACTGTATTTCACCCGCTAAGATATCTGCACAGCTTCATCCGCATCGGGAATCATCAGGTCAACAAATATCGAAGCTTTTTATGGATACTTGAACCTAATACCATTCAGCCAGCGGTTGAAAAGCACATCATTCGGGTAAAAAAGGCTGTTCAGCTGTAAAGTTAAACGGCACTTAGACAAGATGGTTCACCACGTGTCCTTAATTCACGCTGCTAGATAAGGAGGGCTCATAGAGACTGCGATGTTTTCCATTCTGAGCAGATATCAACGTTTAGGCTATCGCGAAAAACAGTACGGAAAACATTTTTGTGTCGCTAACTGTATTAGGGTCTTAGTATATTAGGCAGAAACCCAACAGACCGATTGGCTCTTATAACATTTCAAGATTTTTAACAAGGGTTTCCTTTCGTTGTCGATCAGTATTCATCTACTTTCACGTCGCTGGCCACGTAGGATCCTTCTAAAATTATTCACCGTCACGCCATTCTCCGCTCTCTGTGAGGGATCCAGCTTCGGACAGAAAATGAATGGAAATTCTAAAATGTGTTTAAGTACGCTAGTCAAATATTTCATCCCTGGGTTCTGATTAAGCTTGAGTCCAATGGAAACGAATGCGCAATCCTTCAACCCGAGCGGTAAAGACAGGTACCGGACATTTTGCAACAGCTTTCCAGATGCAGAGATTGCAAAGCATTGGCTTCATATGAATCCACTGGGTCAATGTCAGTTCGGCCTTCAAATAAAATTACTTGTGTTGTATTGATAGCAGCTCAGAAGAATCAAAATCTTATCTTCCAAGTTCTTTCCAATAAGGAAAAACAAGTGACACAGAATCAGAAATAATTTGCTCGAGAAGTGAACATCCCATTCGAGCAATCTCCACTAAGGTCATCGTTCGTTGCTGAAGGATTGTGCTCAACCTAATAGCACGGAAAGCACGGTTTTGAAACCCCTTGGATCTTCCTAAAATTCGCCCTGTTGATGATTCAACATGGCTGTACAATGCTTGTTGGCTTTTCAGCTTCACATTTTTGTCTACGGAAATCGGCGTATCTACTGTGGATTTAAAACGAACTCACACTCATCACACAGTGAGTGGTTAAAAATAGATAAAACTCACTGTTTTGTGAACAGTGGAATACTAACATCGTCTAGCGAGTCCGATATACACATAAAACTTTCATACCACAAAACGCGCCCTGTAACTTACCGAGGTCTCCACAACTACTCCCGATATAGCTGCACTTAGGCAGAGTATGTGAGCGAACAACCGTTTCCTTAAACCATTGACAGGGGAGGTAAAACATGTGTCACCCATGGCAAACACCACTGTATGTTTGAGTGCATGTACGAGCACTGGGTACGAGACACCATACGGCGTTTGATGAAATTTGGACGGTTTTCGATATTTTATTGATTCTACCTTCGTTAGCCGTCCCACGAATGATAGGAACTCCTTTTGCGACTTCATTAGTGCAAAAAAATCTGCTGTAAAAAGGCAGTAAAATATTACCTAATGACAGCTCAATCCTCTCATACTCTAAAATCAAACTTACAAGGTCATCTGCACCAGTCTGATTGGACAAGTCTTACATAATTCGAAGTGCGGTTTAGAATCGCGAGACTTCGGTGCAGGATCACAATTCAACGAATGTGTCTCCGCAGTGAGCCAAGGGGAGGATACGTCAGTCGCACTCCCTTAGATTGGCCGACACGAATGTTTAGAACGAGAACCACGCCCGAATTTTGTAAGTTTTTCAAATCTTTACTTTGGGACAACTACTACTCGAAATTTGAACTGCGTCTTCTATGTTGTTAGCCTGGTAGGGCTCGTTGCCGATTAACTACTGCATCGCGGAAGCTTGTCAAGTTTATTTTAACAAAGGACCACGTACCATATTCACTGACCACCTGCCATTCCACGTTAAAGCTCCCTTCACGGACTTCAGACTGCGCTTTAGTTATTCCCTTCTTCACTGAATATAAACTCCAGGTAGCTTTTACTTCTATCCCCGGTTTTTCGGACAAAAATAGTTCTATAGGCTGGCTATTCAGCTCTTACTCTATGGCGAGTGTCAATGGTCCTGAGTAGCAATGAGATGCATCCAGCTAGCCAACTATATGTTTCGCACTAAACAAGGAATGTCTTCTTTTACAAATGACGCATGATAGCGATGACTCCTTCGTATGATGTGCTTTATTGTGTGCACTGAGTTTAACTAACACTGGATTTGAATGTTTTTCGGCAAATATAAGATGAGAACGGCGTCATCCTTTCAGAAGAAAGCGAGCTAGAATTGGTACACTGCATAGCAAATTTTTACCTTTATTCTCCTGCGTGTTCATTTTTTTTCCAAAAGACGACATCGTGGTAGCATCATGTCGCCGGCCAGAGACAAGCATTTCCGTCATCCGTCGACACACAGTAAAACGGGACAGTCAAATATAACGTTGTTTGAGTTGTATGACCATAGTAGTTGTGTCACCTATAAGGGACGTCTATTCAATATCCTCATTTTAGTATGCAGGACGTTTCTGGAAAGTCCTGGACAACACAAAACAGAAAATTCGCTTCTGAGCCAACCAAAACTAGCCTGAGTTAAGGGTCTATAGTTCAACAATAAGGCAGCGTGATACCCGATATTCCATTTTACTTTGTTTACACTTTTGTACTGAAACAAACCACACGTAACTGCAGTGTGGGAAGAGCACTCATTTTGCCATACACTTTCAAATTTAAATATTCTGAGTTCACCACCGCAGCTGTTCAAAGAGTCGGAATTCGAACAAGTTACAGAACCTATAATGGAAGATATGCCTTTGAATTTCGAAGATAATATCGTACACAATAAGCAGGTTGCCTGATCTGCTAATGGCACAGTTAGGCTTGAAACAATACTGTTCTGTCTCTCTGGTTACCCCGTGCAAATAACTCTATCCGGAATTCAGCTGACCTGAGTAGTCAAATAATGGGTTTTAATTTTACAGGATTCTCACAAAAGTCATGACTAACACCGAATCCCGGGGATTACACTTTGGTGTGATTCTGAGAAAGAATTGACTACTTTTGTCTTGTGCACTAACACTGATAAAGAGAAACAAACTGTTCTTGTAGAAACTCAACTCAGAACCTTGACTATGAAAATGAATCATATCGAAAGGTAAAACTGTAGAGTAGATGACACACATGGTATAGAGTTTAACCTTTTGTAAACGAAAACAAATGTACTGTTTGAGGTAGGTTCGAGCACCTGTATGTCGTTTTGGTTCCGGAGAATGAGCTCAGATTGGTATATTGTTTTGATTTACTCACTATCGCTCCAGAATCGTTCTATCATTTGTATGATTGTGTCCCGTGATTCGGTCAAGTATAAACAAGGCGTTTGATGAACTTTGGGCGGTTTTCGACATTTTATTGATTCTACATTCGTTAGCCGTCCCACGCGTGATAATAACACCTATTGTGACTTCATTAGCGCAACAAAATCTGCTGTAAAAAGGCAGTAAAATATTATCTAATGACAGCTCAATCCTGTCATATTCTAAAATCAAACTTACAAGGTCATCCTCACCAGTTTGATTGGACAAGCCTCGCATAAGTTGCAGTGCGCTTCAGAATTGCGAGAGTTCGGTGCAGGATCACAATTCAACGAATGTGTCTCCGCAGTGAGCCAGTGGGGGGATACGTCAGTCGCACTCCGTTGGATGGGCCGACACGAATGTTTAGAACGAGAACCACGCCTGAATTTTGTAAGTTTTGCAAGTATACATGAGCAAAAATGGGATTTTTCAAATCTTTACTTTAAGACAACTACTACTTGAAATTTGAACTGCGTCTTCTATGCTGTTAGCCTGGTAGGGTTCGTTGGCGATTAACTACTGCATCGCGGAAGCTTGTCAAGTTTATTCTAACAAAGGACCACGTATCATATTCACTGACCACCTACCATTCCCCGTCAAAGCTTCCTTTACGAACTTCAGACTGCACTTTAGTTATTCCCTTCTTCACTGAATGTAAACTCCGGGTAGATTCTTGTTTTAGTTCCATTTCCGGTTTTCCGGACAAAATTAGTTCCGTAAGCTATCTATTTTGCTCTCACTCTATGGCAAGTATCAATAGCCCTGAATAGCATTCAGAAGAATTCCCGTCAACCAACTACAGGTTTCGTACTTAATACGGAGTGTCTTCTTTTACAAATGTTTCGTAATATCGGTAAATCCTTCGGATGGTATACTTTATTAGGTGCACTGTTTTTGAATACACTGGACTTGAAGTTTTATCGGCAAGTGTAAGACACACTTCGTAGAAAACGGCGTCATTCTTTCAGAAAACTGCGAACTATAATCGGTTGGCTGTATTGTAAATTTTTACCTTCACTCTTCTGGGTGTCCGTTTTTTCCAGAAGGGGACATAGTTATGTTCATTTTAATTCTTGGCCCAAATGCAAGGACGGGAGCACAGATCCACTGTAACACAACATGGGTTTTAAGTTCCACTAAAATCAACTACAGAATAAACGAAGATCTCAAGGAATCGAAAATATCGTTTGAGTGGGCTGCTATTTAAGAACCAAGCACTCCAGCATAGAAACTAGGTCTATAAATACTATTTATTATCCGGCGGACAAATGTACACGAAAACATTATGTCTGCTGAATTTTAAACCGATGATAGATTTTCCGGTCTCATAGCCACAAACTTATGGTTTACGCAAGTATGAATGTTTCATGGAGTGCCTAGATAGGAAAAATTACGGTATTCAGTATTTTGCGTTAAGTTTCACATCCTTAGGGTTAGCTGATGTGCGTCAGATTCCCAGCTTGGAGATGAATTACAAAATTACCACTTTTTTCTTACTACGGACTAAAAGGTTGCTTTTGAAAAATACGCTTAATTGCACACGAACCTAGTTTTGACGGGAGACTGAACTATATCCAAGCTGTATCCGTTGTTTGTGGTATTTTTCAACTGAATGTGCTGGCAGAGGTTGACTCATATTTTATTTGGTATTCGAAATATCACAGTACATTTTCTTAAATTAAACTATTCACTAGGTTACTTAAATTGTATCAGCGAAGAACACATGCAATAAGAAATTAGCAAATATGATTTAAACGAATACAAAAAATAAAGTTACGGACTGAGAAAAAAGAAACTGTTCTAAGGATTTTGAGTAGGTCAAAATGTTGATGCGTCCTGACAGCTAGGCAACTATCCGCGAGAGCGAAATGTCAACGACACCGGAACCATTTATGCATAGAGAGACGGAGAGAGGCGGAGTCTTAGAAAATTAGGTAGTGAGGAGGATACTTGGACCACCCAAGAAGTTTATTCCCTCTGGTTTGCCGCCAGAAGCGGTGATAAATTGAAGTATTATTGACATAACCGAGGAAATAGAAAGGTTAGGAATCAAGCACGTCACTGATTTACCAGATGAAATATAACGGAAATGCTTCAGTTATTTGGAAAACCCCCTATAGGTGTGCCGCTTGTACGGATGATTGATCAGTGTCCGGTAAGCCAAACACCATACGTATCCGATTCCGCACTGACGAGGAAATGATCTCCAGTAGAGTTCAGCCATAAGCTAGGTGAGTATCTAAGTATCTGTATCCGTGAATTGTCTGTTGATTAGCCAGACTACACTAATTACCGAACTCCCGTTCGGTTAATGGCAGTGCATCACGGCGCCTGTAAGTTTTATCGTAGTTGCAACAAGCGTTTGGACAGTCCAAGACTGGTTTAGCCTCTCTTGGATCTCATCAGGTGAAGATATTTACCGAGTTTTCGTAAACCCCATATTCCACTTAAACGGTTCCATGTACCTAAGCTGATGCTAACAAGAGGCTAAAGTAACTCCAAGTTGGATGTCTCGTCCACGATAATTTCCCTATGATATGCCGAAATGATGCAGCTGAATATTTCACTTGGTGCAGCATGTGAGATATCGCAGAGGGACCCAGCCGAGTTACAGTAATTCTGAGTGGCCCAACGTGTGTAGTGGTCTGCAAGTTGTCATGATACCAACACTCTTTTGAGGCAGATTCATATTATTAAGAGAATTAATGATTTGAATTCTTGTTTGCTCTTGCCTTTTGTTTATTCTGGATATTTTACGAGAGAGTTGGTAATGCATTTCACTACGTTTGGTGCAGTTGTGAAGGTCAAATTTATCGCGAATGAATTACTAGGCAGAGGAACTCGAATTGGGCCTGAAAACATAATATCTGTGTATTCGCCTGCAAGGCTGCCGATACCATTAATAACAACAGCTGTACATGCAAACGGAATGTTTTTCCGTGTGAGAATTATGCCACATAGCAGAAAGCTTGTTCTCGGGTTTAAGACAGCACGATTAACGTGATGACCAGGTCGTGTTCCCAACTCTCGGTTAGGATAACATCGCAACACATCATTGCTTTATTGGATTCATTTACTTTATATTGAGGCAACACATTCTGGTGATTACCGTGTTATGATCCCAACAATAAAAGGAATATTAGTCCTTACGTTCACTTGAAAATCTACTAAGAGCCAACTTTTTTATGGTTAAGACAGATGCTTTATAGGCAGGACGTTTGATGGAAATTACTGTAGCTGCAAAATAAAACTCCATGGTAGGAGGTAAAACGCTACCGTTACTATCCAACTTGGGACTGTAATGTACAGACCGCAAAAATTTGTAACGGATCAGTTTTTACCAAGACGCACTAGAAGCATTGCTCTATCAGTTGAGCCTTACTAGTGAACAAAATAAGAGTTGTTTTGGATTTTCCCTGGCAAGCTAAAAAGTGTCGAAAACAAACAACTGTGACGAACACATAAAAGCCACTTGGTTCTCCGATAGGTCTCCTTGGAACAGTGTACTGCGGATCCCAGAAATAACTCCCTTGTATATCATCTGGTACAAATTTACCCGATTAAATCTGAATTTTGGTGCGAACATGTCGCTAAGAGTTTCCCCAATTCTGGAGGAAGGTACATTTACCCATTGGCTGGGATTGTATCTTATACTTATGAAAAAGGCTTAGCTATGAATACACAACCGGGAAGTCTCACATTACACTAGATTCGTGATTCGTAGCAAATATATATATATATATATATATCACAGCATTAATCGGAGAAGTTAGAAAGTTCTCATCCAGTGCTAAAGTTTAAAACGGGAAAATTTCTTGTGAAATGATCAGAAACTGAAGTCTGAGTACACGTTTAGTACCGAAACAATATATATATATATATATATATATATTGTTTCGGTACTAAACGTGTACTCAGACTTCAGTTTCTGATCATTTCACAAGAAATTTTCCCGTTTTAAACTTTAGCACTGGATGAGAACTTTCTAACTTCTCCGATTAATGCTGTGCTATTATTGGCTACCTTACTTGGTTCCGGGGGAGCCAAAGGTAGAACCGGTGCAGAAATTGGTCACGCACTGCTGCTACAAACGGGTATCAGTGATTTCAACTTACAGCCAGCTGTTGACGAAGCAGCTGGCCTATTCAACGAGCTCTACAATGATTACACCAAGGAAGAAACCACTATTCACAGGAAAAAGACAAAATGCATCCAAATCAACAATGGAATTTTTATTCAAAATAATTACAACATCAAGCCCAGTTTCAGGAAGACCACATGGCACAAGTTTTTTACGCACGTCCTGCAGGTTGGTAAGATTTCTAGGTTTGGTTTAGAGTCATTTCGATACTGTTCCTTTTATAATTATACTTTGCTTTGAGCTGTTTTTCCGTATGATCTGAAGCGGCAGCAGCAGTTGAGCCAGTGACATGAAAGAATAAAAATATCCACACCCACACAGATCCTATCAGAAAAAATTACGGCTGATATGAGATTTGGTGTGGATTGTTCACGGCAGTCTAACTTGACGAATCACATTCAAGAGGATACTTCCTGAAGACAGAACATACGTTTTTGTCCACATAACATGGAGAAAGAGGGAGCTCAAGGTTCAAAATGCTGATGCACACGCCACGGCCTGATACCTTTCCCACGTTGCGAAAAGCCAAAAACTATTATAAATAACCCCTCCATAATAATAAAACTATGATCTTTTAAACAACCACTGTAGCCATTATGTTCTCAGTAGAATGTGTAATGTAAAGAACACGGGTAAATTAGCGAACATGCACTCATTTGCAAACTAATTTTGTTTTTGGAGAGACTCACCCGGAAACCAGCTGAATTTCTCGTTTGTGATGTTCCCAGGCAACTGAATTTGCTGCACCAGGCCACCTCATGTTTTAGTCGTTATGATATTTGAGATATGGCGATACATGTATATCTTTGTAATGTACTACTCATAAGGTTGCTGTCAACGAATTTTCAGCAACCTTATGAGTAGTAATTGCCAAGATATAGCGCAAGTAAAATTTGGGAAATGTTTCGACACAATTTAGACTTGATTTTATTAGCAGGTTACACCGAACATATAAGCCAACGCCAATTCAAATGTGCGAAATTAAGTAATGGAATTACATCGCGTAAGCTTGGAACAAACAGTCACCTATTTTCAGTTCAGGGTTTTTCGAAACCTACGGGATTCCTGTGCATTACCCAGTTTGTTTACAACCATGTCACTTGCAATATTGAATACGGACTATTTTTTAACTCCGATGTATCGGCTTGTTTTTTTGTTTTTCCACTGATCGGTTAGAACGATCGGAGGCAAAAGCAAAGAAGTAATATCTAGATGGAATAGGAAATGAAGCGGCATATTTATTACACATGTAGTCTAACGGTAGCGTCTACGGGTTTCGCCTAGAACAAAGGATTAAACAATCTAGTCGGCTGATATTTTGAGAAAACGGTGTAGTTGTATATACTCATTTATGTTTATTTGACTGTTAAGTTGAATTTTCGATATTGGTCAATTGCCGTTTACCTTGGATGACCAAATCTTGAAGAATCTCGACTGAATTTCAGGAGATTCTGGGGATATGCATAGTAATGGTGCTTCCATAAAGAATCGAGATTGAGTCAGGTTTATGGCGTATTGGAAAGTTAGACCCTGATAGAAAGTTAAATTCCCTAGCTTTAAGTTAACAAGTTATCTGTTGGCCAGAAGCATTTGCCATGTTCTTCCATTTAATCAGAATGAAACCTTTTGTAGCTTCTCTAAGCAAGATTTTCTCTTATGATTTTTCTGCTGCTGTAGGTGGATTTTTTGAACAAAACGGAGGCATCTCGTTTCATAAATGTATGGCTTAAGAGAGAAACATATGGAAGAATTCCACAGTGCTTCCAAAGTCCAGAAGAAATATTACCGTCGTCAAGGCTTGTCCTAGTCAACGTGCTGACATTTATCGGTAGGTTATATACGACCAGTAAACTATTATCCCGATGGCATAAATGGTGAAAAACTCCATATTTCAAAAAATGAAAATAAAAAATAGTTTGTACCGCCTAAGTAGGACATTAATCTAGTTTCATGGAAGCAGTGCTCCGTTAGTGGGACTGCTTGCTATCATAGTTATCCAGTTGTAAAATAGTTACCACTGTCCATTTGGTCAAACATTCTCAAACCGTATGATGACACATCATTTTAAGTATTAGTCAAGTTTTTTTCAACAAACAGCACTTAATTCCATTTGTCTTATGATCATAACATGCAAAAAGCAGTAGATTCACGTGCACTTGTTGTGCACTATTGTGTTTAAATGTTATACGGAATTCAATGAGAACTATGATTTCACCATTTAGTTCGCAAACAGATTTTGATGGATTTTTACATTTTCTAAATAAGGAGCACGCCTTCTGTCTAACACTTTATCATCATTCGATAGGTCTAAGATAAAGACCCACCGGATGCAAAATATGTAATGTTAGATATACTCGTCAATTTTTCGAGTTATTGAGTTACTCAATAAGATCGCAAAAGTATTATCGTCGGCCTTTGTAACGTTATCATTTTATCGTTGTGAAGCGAAGGCGTTCAGTGAAAATGTTCATTTTCGTACTACCAATTGAAACTAATTTTCACATTTGATTGATTGTTTCATATGCAATGTTGTGGGTTGGCCTGTTAGCTACTTTCCAACTAGATTGTCGCACATGCGTTCTTCGAGCTTAATTAACTCATTTCTCGCTGTCACCGGGTACGAAATTTCTGAAATCGACCTCTCGTATGCTGTTTTATTTTGACGCTGCTGAAGATTGATTCCAGTCTGTCACTGTTTTGTTCATCATTGCTGAGCAACCGGCCTTTTGCACACAGGGCTGTCCAGACCAATAGCAGTTTGTCAAGTCAGTCATCTGAATTATTCGTATAGTACCAAGCTTGCTACAATTCGGATGGTCTTTTATCTTACTTGGCCAAGAATTGTACTAGCTATGAATCGAACTTCTGATCCTCTGGTGGATGTGTATGACATTCACATGAATGGGGCGTGTTTTCTGGCAGCTACATTATCTTCCTCCATGCACACGGTTCCCACCCGGCCTTCTCAAAATAAAACTGGCCGCGTTAAGTTGTAACAGTAAGCTAATTTGCTAATGCATACGTTCCACTAATTGCGTACAATGTGTTGTTTATGTGGGATATACGATTAACGAAAATTTAAAAGAACGCACCTGCCTATTGAGTTCTAACAAGAGCGAAGCGGCTTGCGGTCTTCTGAAGAGTTTTCAGCAACTTAATTAACAAAAATTTGTCATATATATTTCAGTGGTTTCGGTTAATGGCGTTGTTTTAGAAACTGTTCACAATTTTCTTTGGTCTTGAGACCAGTCTGCGAAAAGCAGTGTTTGACGTATGAGCCACCATGAGGTCGTAAGGGTTCCTGAGATATGAAATTACCATTCGCTTTGTTGTCTGCTTATCCGCCTATTCCAAACATCGTCCCATAAACGTTCTGTCGTATTCGAATGGTCAGAATTCAAAGCTTTCTTCGTTCACTATGAACTGTGCGATGGCACAGTGCTGTTGTGCTTTCGTGAAAAACCTCTGTATGCAACACACCAATTTATTGGATTGCTGATAGAGTAGTATAGTGTTCGGTAGCTGTGGGTTTTTAAAGATACGTGCAAATGTGTGGAATTGCACCTACATTTGTCTTCGATAGAATGCCTGAGTAATTAGGATTGTTGTTCTTTTCCTAATAGATTATGAAATCGATATATCCTCAGGCGGAGTTCTGAAGTTTTGAATTTTATATCAAAAGAGGTGTTTTCTATGTAGCGTACATGTTGATATCACAAAGCAACTTAAAATTCAACTTCTGCATAACCACAAATATAAATAATAATACAAAAACCTAAATATATTTTCACTGAATTGCTGATGCATCTGTCTACTGAAGCAGATATATATGTATATAAATATGTAAACAAACTTTCTGGGTTTATATGTTACGTGGTTTTTGTCTGATAAATGATATCTATTAATTGTATAACGCGATTTATATATAACGTATATCCTTGATTTCCTACCGATGTTCACCTGCCACAAAATGTTTCAAAGGCACTTTTAAAATTTCTATTGTTGGTGGTAAAATGTTTGATGGAGATGGACATGCAAAGTCAGCTGAAGCAAGCTAGATGATAAGAAATTTAACGCATAGCTTCAGGCCTCTACAAAATCTGCCTTAAGCAAAGCGACTACTGTGCACAAAGTTCGCGCTTTCGGAGTGTATACAATTTATGGGTTTTAGAAGACAGTATTTGAAAAACGATGGGTTAGCTAAAATTCCTGAAGGATAAACCAAAAAAGGCACTTATTTCTATTGTTGGTGGTAAAATGTTTGATGGAGATGGACATGCAAAGTCAGCTGAAGCAAGCTAGATGATAAGAAATTTAACGCATAGCTTCAGGCCTCTACAAAATCTGCCTTAAGCAAAGCGACTACTGTGCACAAAGTTCGCGCTTTCGGAGTGTATACAATTTATGGGTTTTAGAAGACAGTATTTGAAAAACGATGGGTTAGCTAAAATTCCTGAAGGATAAACCAAATAAGGCAAGTTAATTAGTTGCAATGCCGCAGATGTACGGATTCGACAGGTATTACTTCAGTGGTGAAGGAGATGCCAAAAATCAGCGTCGCCTGGCGTGTTCATTATGCTTGAATATCATGAGAAAAATAAATACACCTAACTATGAGCCAGTCATTTCGTCCGCCTCGCACTCAGTACCAATTTAAAACGACTGGCTTTCAAACGACAAAAAGAAAAATGTCTACGACCTACGGATAATGGCACAACTCTCCGACGTTTGGTTTTGCGCAAAATTTTTAATATTGCAGAATATGAGGGCCGGATCTTAGGAAGTCTCTTTATTGCCTAAAAATATCTTCGCAGACCACTTGCAGAAAATCTCTCAGAAAGTGTCTGTGCATACCTTCGTTCCTTGGCATTGTAGTATTTTGCGGAAATATCTCACAGAAAAAACACGGAGAAAACAACGTTGTTTAACTGGGATTAAATGCAACAACTCTGCACTGTCTGCAGTTTTACAATTCATCGCAAGACTAATATTTCCGAATCTTTAAGTTTCGATAGGAAACGCTCTCGTAGATTCCACTTGTAATACGGTAACTGAGATCTGACCCAGTTTGATAACGTGGTTTTAAGTTTGTATTTGTGTCCAATCTGTTGAATAGAGATAACTTGCACATATCTTCCATGAGTGTGGGACTGCTCAAGGAGATGTGTTCATACCCTACGACAGGGACTACTTGAGGACATTAAATTGAAACGAACGGTTTCAGAAAGAGAATGGTGCGTGTAGCAAGGTATATTCCATAAAGAACTAACCACCAACAGTTACTGACCAAATTTACTTCTTTAGTCGCCTTACTGTTTAAAACTACTAACCGAAATATCCGAGGTTTTGGTTATATTTTTCTCCTATGGAAGCTCTTTGACTACCAATGCTGTTTTACAGACTTATGGAAAAATGGCTTCACGGCAGTACAAACGGAACAGTTCATACTAAAAAATGGCACACGGGTGAATGTCCCAATGATGCATGTGGTAGAACCCATGCTATACATGAGATCTGATGTAATGGGAATCATATCCATTCGGAAACCATTCAAGGTGAGCGGAATCTTTATTGAAACATTAAAGTAACTGTTAATATTTAGCATAATGCTTGCAAGAGTAAGAAAACCAAACTGCTTAACAGTTAACTTCAGTCAATTTTGACTGTTTCCCTGTGAGGATCATCATAAATGACCTAGCCTTCTCCTTAAGGTCGATGAGTGCGGTGGAATTTATCCGTCTTCATTCGGATTACACAAGTAAACGCACAACCGCTGGTTTACACAGGGATGTTTCCTGGACCTTATGCAGCGCAGATGACGTCCCTTCAAACTGTCATGCTCCACTAGCAGATCAACAGCCTCGCGAGCAACTACTAGCTAGTATATTCACGGTTCCCATGTTGTTTTCAGATTTCCCCTATGCCTTATTACGAACATAGTGATTTGGATGTTATTTTTGTTGGCATTTAACAAAAACATACATAAAAACATACAAATCACGTGTCCAGTTGACTAAGTGGAAGAATTAGCTCTCAAGTTCTGGTGGGTAGATATGCTGAATGTTCGTAGGTTTGTGAGGATAGTACAACATTAGATTTGGAGAACTTTACCACCGAGTACTAGGGCTTCCGAAGGGAAAGGACTCCATGGCAAAAGCTCGAGAAACCGCCGAAAAGAAAGCAATTAAATACCTCATGTCAGGTACAAGTGCACAATCGGCTAGATTGGTGTAAATTTGTGGATTTGGTGCATTGATTCAATCCCTTACTAGCTGGTCTATGGGCTGGACTATAGGGTTATTACTGACGTTTTTATCTGGCATAGCTCCGAAATTCACATGGCTTAGTGTGTGATAGAGAACCTATGGTGGCGCTGTGTTTGCCTTGTATTGCGCGATGTGTAGCCGAAGGAACACTTCAAAAACCTTGTGATGAGCAGCATAAGTGGTGTGAAAATGTTGCAGTGTATCAACTGACTCGCCGTTAAGTGAATTGATAGGCTCAACCGGAAAAGGAATTGTCGGTTCGTAAAAGCGTTTGAGCTGGTGGATTGGTGAGTTTAGGTCTGACGCGACCAAGAATATGCACCAATGATGGGGTCAAATTAGAGAAATCTGAAGTCATAACTTCTTAAAATCACAAGTTAATATTGTGAAATCATTTGGTAGATCAGGTTAAAGGTTTCGGTAACCTGTAAGAGGAATCCGTCCGGGAGTTTCCTTGACTGACCACATTTTACGTTTTCGTTCATACTTCTTCAAAAGCCCAATCCATATTTATCATTTCAAGTTACCTCAGCTTGAGTGAGAAAGGGGGATCGTTACTATTGCCTTACACATAATTCACCACTTAGAAGGTTGCTGAAGACTTTTTGAAGTTATTTTAGATATATTCGCCGAAATATATTGCAATCGAGGGTTACCGAAATCGAGAGGTGTACTTGATATCCTGGCATCACCAAATACTTTCAAATTAGTGCTTTTGCCATCACTTCCCGATTTGGGATTACCATAGCCAAAGGAGAACTCTGGAATAACCTAAGATCAATTGTTCAAGGACAAATCCTTGAAGAAGAAACAGTTATCATTCTTTACCCTAGAAAATAATGTCAACTTGTTTTGTTTTTAAAATCACTAGCTGTTTTACAGCCGTAGTTATGTTAAAAATGAATCTATCAAAATATAATGAACCCTTCAATGTACTTCCGTAACCGGATGGAAGACTAATTCTGGCAGAAGTTACTTAAGAAAATTTCAACATTCCGACGTTTTAGAAAAATCCCGATTTATTTACATACTTTGAGCTCACTTTTACTAATTTGTTCAATACGACGGGAGTTGTGATCAAAATTTGCGCACGCCCACATAATTCCATCATCTGTTTTCATACAGAACACACGATTCTCCTTTTTTCTGATTGTGCCTACTGACCACAAAAACACGTCTGGAATGGAAAAAGTGTTGGACGGAAGATATCCCATGAATTTTGTGACCGTATTGCAAGAGGAGTGTGTGGTCTCTTTGAAGCTTCCAAAGTTCAAACTGGAAAGCATACTTGACTTGATGAGTTCGCTGCAAAAGTTTATGGTGTATGAACTATTCCGGAAGGGCAGAGCCGATCTTTCTGGTAAGCATCAATAGCTGGACAAATATTGTCAGTTAGTAAATTGGATTAATTAGAAAATGACCTTGTTATCAACATAAGATTTAAATGTTACGCTCGTTTATGATGTTGATTAACTAGATGCGCAGTTTTAAAACGGCATCCTGTTTCACTTGGCATGATATTAGAGCTGTTGCTGTATTTTATTATCGCATTACCAATACATTATTTGTGATGTAAATTGCAAGCAAACGCATTTTGTCGCCTGTTTAGCGAAACTAGGGGGTTCGTCTACCTTTGGTGCCCGAAAATGCTGAATCAGTATTAGGACTCTTCATAGTTTCATAAACTGTATGTTCAGGCCGAGTAAACCTTTTGGCGTTTACATCTTTCGAATGGTTTGAACAGACTGTAAGAATGAGTTGTCTAGTTACATGCGTAAACTGCTAAATTGCTAAGCGTTTAAGCTCGTAAACCGTGATTATTAGGCTCTTTATTAGAACTGAGAAGTACCGATCCTAGCTTTGCCGAGTAATAACACAACTGCCGAGTTCAAATGGTTAGATTGTGAGTAACCTATGTCTCCTACAAATCTGTCTGGTGTTTTTGAAGAGGCCGTTCTAAAAAACGTTTAAAAAATGGTCTCTTCTGAACGGTCGTCCTAGTTAAGAGGAAAATTGCAGATGGAATGGGTCAGCAGAACCGAGCATCGTCTTTGCAGTGGACAACATTTGAACTGACTAAAATGACAGCATTCTGGTCTACCAGAAGTAAACGGTTACCATTAAAAAAATTCTAAACTTAAGCAGTTGCGTGTTTTAAGCAAGCGCGATAAGAATATCAAGTTTTAGGCTTTTGTCGACTTGGATGCGAAATGTGGAGGTGATTAGGTTGACACCCTCCGCGCCACTGGCTGAACAGCCAGTCTTTATTTATTTGCACTTTGTCAGTTTTTTTGCCGAGTGAAAGCATATTAGAGGTGGTAATATGGAAGTGTGTCCACTGAATACCATTACTGATTTGTTATCGCAGGTTACAAAAGAGGAAGTAAACTAAATACGTTTTGTGTTACTTTCTGCAGGTATAACGGGCTCAGACCGTTTATTTGTCAATCTATGGAGACAGATCAATGTAATGGCTGTAGACGAATCCGGAATAAATGCTGACATGGCACAAGAAATCGAAACAGCGTCAACGACAGACGACCAGGCGGAGGTAGAGGTCACCGCCAACACAACGTTTGCCTTCATTATATATGATGAGGATCTCAGATTGCCAGTCCTCGCTGGTCGCGTGGTCAAACCAGTTTTCTGAGTTCTTCATACATAATGACAGTGTATGAAGCTGTCACCGCTATCTGTCTCCAAGCTTCATTTCCTGTAACAATCTGTGGACTCCAGCTATTCGTCTACTTTGATCAGTTGAAAAGTGCCTTGTATTTTTTGTCACATTAGTGTTGGCTATCTAGCGTTGTTGGTCAATCTGTATTCCAAACTAATATCTATCATGGAACTGACGAGTTTTACATTCAACTCGCCTCAACAAGTGAGTAGGCCAGGCATCAGTATTAATTGCTCCTGTCTTCCAATTATTACTAAAGCGTGCTGCCTTCCAGCGAGATTTTTACCCTTAACACTTTGACTTTGACTACAAACACCTACGCAGCTTTACGCTTTGTCAGTACCTTAAGGACTGAGATTACTCAGCTCTTCCAATATGCGTCAATATATTGCAGCTTCTGGTCTCAAGATTTGATACTTCCTCTTTCCATTCTTCCATAACTATCAAGTAAGAGCCTCTGTACCCACTGTCTGGTTTACGTCCTTATTTCACCCAGTTGGTACATGATATAGAAAGAACCGTTTTTGTTCCTGGTATTCTCAGCTCCCATTTCTATCAATTACAGGCAGTTGTTGCATCTTGATCGCTAGCATATTTCATCATTCTGGTCGTTTCCGCGCGTCACATGATCATTAATACAGGCATACTTGGTTGTATTTGATCTTGTTTATCCCACAAATCTCCAGTGATGAATTAACCATTACTCAGTGATTAAGCCATCGTGCGGTTGTCCCTACGACTTTAGTCGACAGCTAGACTGACTGAAAAAGTAAAAAAAGCTATTCTTCATTGGACTTCGCTGAAATGTTTGAATACTGGTCCAGCTATATCTTGTGTGAAACCTGGCGGTTACCCCCTGTTATCGATACCTCCCTGAGATAATCCTTGCGGAAGGATCCGCAAACGTTTGAGGTGCTTCACATGCCCAATGATTATTCGGTATCGTACGAGTTTGAGATATAATGGTACCATTTATGTTTGCATTAGGTGAAATGCGATAAAAGCTTACCCATGGTTGACCGATATTGTGATTCTGCGTGCACTGAAAAGTAACTTGCCTACGAATATGCCATTCAAACGTCACCTGGATTCCAACATCATTTGGTGTTGCGTATTTTAGCAACGGCGCTAGAATTCATATGCGAATTGCTATAGTTATAACCCTTGAAATGATCTTGGTAGCTCTAGCTTAATGTGGGCGGGATATTGGATACTTCTGTTGCTCACATCATGATCAACGCCTGTGGCGCAATGTCCACGTTTGTAAGAATATTCGAATGCGTCCAGCTTTGGTTTATCCATGGCCTTTGGTATTAGTACCCATACATGCTAATTCAATTAGCAGCTGTAGGAAAATGAATTTTCACTGGCCATTCCCCTTCACACATTTCTTCCAAATGTGTAAAACAAATGAAAGATAAATGAAGCAGGGCAACATGTGTGTGATGTGTATGTTGGGACCATAGATTATTTTGGGAGTTTGTCGGCTTCTAACGGTGTCATTGGCGTACCGGGTAGACCAGCAGCTGATCATCAATTACCCAACATTTTCAGAGGCAGATGACGAAATGAAGCTGAATAAAATGCTTCAGGACCAAAACTCATGGTTAAAATATGTCGCTGACACAACAAAGCTCCAAGGACCAAACAATTGCGTCCGACTGTTAACTCATTTTGCCAGGATGGAGGATGCAAATTTCTTGCTTTTATGAAACTGAATATTTCCGTGGTATTCCGTTTTCAAATTTCTACTATTTTACTTCTCTTAATTCCTGTAAAATTAGTTTTATAATGGTGAACTAGCCCATAAGTTGCGCGCATTCGTATGCCTGTTTGAAAGTACGGAAGGTTGCGCCTTCTGATTCAACAAAATGACCAAGGCACATGACAAGTTAGTGCAAACACATGCTATACTGGAGACCGTGGATGACGTACTCAAATTCTAAAAGGCGGATCACGTCAAGACGAGGGACAGCTTTGGATAAGTTCGGGGACACAAATGAGCATCATTTGGCTACGGTATTTATTTAGTGCTGGTCTTGAACTTTAAGATGAAAAACTTCACTTGGTTCATTTACTCAATCATACCTGTCTCAAGACCGGTCAGGCGGGTTTGTTCTTCTATCCTGGCTAGCGGGACCACGAGGTGGCTTGGATGCTCTTGAATTCATTAATTGTAGCAACCAAACGCCAAGGCTGGATATCTCTGAATAGCCACGACGAAGCAAAAAGAGCACACGGGATTTTCGTCTACAGCCTTTTCATACCTATACTTGCACAGTAGTGCAGCACCAAGAAGAGATCAGTAACTGAAGGGAAAATATAACTAGTCTCCTGTGATATTTGATAAGCTTATCAAAGGAACGCTAAGTATATTGAACTGCATAAAAGTGGCACGCGTGACGCAGGCCGGCAGTTCACAAGGTAGGTGAATCAAAGCCCGAGATAAGTTTTAGACTGAGGATCCCTGTCATCACACAAATTAACAAAGAACGCGAGTTAGCCGATCATTCGGCAAGCAAAAAACCCTTTCGTATCAAATACCGCTCCTATATATTTGAGCTCACGTAAAAGAACTACCTAATAAGACCTTCTTATGGAAAGCATATTGCAAGCATTTTGCAATGTAACGGCAGGTGCAGGGTACGAATAAAGGATATGATCGGAATCACAGGGACGTTTCCATCTATGCTGCTCAACTCGGGATAATATGCGCACACTTCAAAGGAAGTAATGAAAGCATTGCTACCCTAATCGTTGTGTCAACTCTGTCATTGTCATTAAACTGTTCCAATATCACTAGGGAAACATTACAAAAAAGTTCGCAATAAATAGAATAAAAGTACCCGCAAAAAACTAATCAGCAAATCAATTTGGTTTTCACGGGAGACTCAATTGAATCTCTCGTTTATGATGTTCTCC